TTCCCTACATTTCTGAACTCTTTCTCTGTCCTTGTAAATACTGGATATTATAAGTGAATCAATCAAGAAAAAAATATATTGTATAGGAAAGTGAGATGTAACCAAGCTTTTATGGGTGCTTCAGATTCCTTTCAAAGCCAATGAGCTGACAATAATTCCTGGTTCGGACTAAACGACACAATCTCTGCATCCACTTGGCCAGTCACAATTGGCAAATGCACCACTGACTCCTCAGCTGGGGGCTCCCCTCTCCTGTAGGAAAAAGATCTTGGGTAGCATCTGGGACTGCTGCAGGAGGAGGAAGCCAAAAATGAAGGGAATTGGAGCTTCGTGGCCCAAATACTCTCCAAAACATAACTATGGCTGTGGTCACATGGAGCATTAGGCACGCTAGAGGGACGGAAGATAGGCGGATTTTCCGGGCGCGATCTCACTGCCACATCTGGGAAGCGTGCGAACCCGAGGCTTCCCGCAGAAGATGCGCGGTAAAAAACTAGTACCTTGGAGGTACTAGTTTCCTGAAACCACGGGGCAAGGGCAGGCATCTGATCGCGTTTCCGGTGGTAGTTCCAGCGCCCGCCCATGTCCCCTCGCAAAAAGGGTTTTTTTTGGTGTTGCTAGGCTACCAACCCTAGCTACAAATGGGGGGGGGGTTGGACTAGGAGCTGGGGCGCCTGGGCTCAAATCCACGCTCAGCTGTTAAGCTCACCTTCGGTCAGTCAGTCTACCTTATTTACTTCACAAGATAGTTGTTTGTGCAATGTGAGGGAAGAGATAGATAATGTTGTCTGCTGCGTAGAACTCCTCAAAGGGGGGGAATAAAAATGTTTTAGGATTTTAAAAAATACAAACGTTGCAACCTATGCTCCACACAAACATATGATAAGTCAGGAAGGGTCAGGAAGCAATTTCCTCCAGGCCAGTTTGGCTAGAAATCCTGTTTTGTTTTGTTTTTTGCCATCTTCTGGGCATGGAGCCAGGCTCACTGGGGATGTGGGGGGAGGTATTTGTGAATTTCCTGCATTGTGCAGGGGGTTGGACTAGATGACCCTTGAGGTACCTTCCAACTCTATGATTCTACTTTGTGAGAATATTATTGGGTTGTGTTTTTTTTTTACAACAAACAAGATAAACAGAATAAGAAGCAGAAGGTGGATGTGGCTGGATGACCACACTTCTGGTAAGATAGGGCTGTGGCCTAATGTGCTAATGAGCTGTGCTGTCAGGGTTGTGGCCTATTATGCTACTGAGTTCCTGTTGTGCCCAGCAAGAACCACAGAGATTTCTTACCTTCTTCTCTCTGGCAGCCACCTCCTCCAGGGGAGTCACCCGGTGACCTCGGTGCTCCTGGGATCTGCCGCAGACCACGCAGAGGGGGGCTTCGTCGTCCTTGCAGAAGAGTTCCAGGGGCTCCCGGTGCTTCTCGCAGACGCCCCCTTTCCCTTCTCCCCCCTTCGCTTCCGCTCCTTTCTCTTCCAAAGGGCTGAGCTTCTTAATGATTTCCACAACGTTGGCCAGCTGCTGGTTCGGGCGGAGGCTCCCCTCCCGCGCCTTTCCTCTGCATTGGGGGCAGGAAGGCTCGGCGGCCCCCGACTCCCCCCAGCTGCGGGTCAGGCAGGCCCGGCAGAAGTTGTGGCCGCACTCAGCGATGGTCACCGGGTCATTGAAAAAGTCCAGGCAGATGGAGCAAGAGGCTTCCTCGCAGAGCTCCTTCAGGGGACCCTCAGCTGCCATGGCTGCCTCGAGGAAAGGGGGAAAGAGAAAGAACAAAGTTACTTTCGTTTTCCCGCTCTGCCAAGTCAGCGAGGGCGGCGACTGAACAACAAGAGGGATGTACTAAAAGGAAGGACAGGATTGCCCATTGGAAACAATGGGAGAGGCTGGAAGGCCCATTGGAAATAATGGGGGCCCAGAGACCCTGATGGAAAACCCATTCCGCATTTTTATTGCAACTCTGTCCTTCCCTTTTACCGAAAATAAGACCTACCCCAAAAATAAGCCCTAGCGGGATTTCTAGGCATCTGTGGTATAAGCCCTAGTGTGTCTTCTTGAGAAAAAATAAATATAAGACAGTGTCTTATTTTCGGGGAAACACGTAGTACATCCCGCCGATGGGGAAAGGGCCGGGGAGGAAGGAGGACCTGGGCAGGAAAACGCCTCCTTTGGCTGGCATTTGCAGGCGCCTAGGGGGAAGGGAGAGGGAGGCCGGGGACTGGCACGGGGGATGTCCCTGGGACCGGGGAAAGGCTTCCCTGCCGGGCTGGGTGGGGAGGTCAGGGGATCTCCAGCGAATACCGGTGAAAGGACCCTGGAAAGCTTTTTACAACCAGAAGAAAATCGCTCAGGGAAACTTGGAAGGAAGCGGAGGGGAGCAGCGGAGCGGGCTTACTGCGGGGAGTTACCACCCCATCTGGTCTACCCCTTTCCAAAGGGCAGCAGAGACAGAGAGAGTAGAACATACGGCCTCCTTTAGGGAGAGCGCGTGTGTGAGAGGAGGAAAGGGTTAAGAACTCCCCTGAGTTCTCAGTCCGTGCGGTGTAGTGGTTAGAGCATCTGCCCTAGGATCTGTGAGACCAAGGTTTGAATCCTCAGTCTGCCACGGAAACCATGGAGAGTGACCTTGGGCCAGTCACATGACCTCAGCCAGGTGTAATTCACAGGACTGTGATTTGTGCGGATAAAAATGAAAGACTCGAAAATGTGGTAGGTGCCACTTTGGGTCTACACTGGGGGTGAATTAAGTCAATCTATAATGAGCCAAAGTTGATAATGGACCAAAGGGAAAATGTCAAAGAAATTACTGATGGTGCTTTCAGTAAAAAAAAAAGGGGGTACATTTTTCACAGATCCTTCTGTAGGAATGGGAAAGGCACTTGTTATAAATATGATTCTGGCTGCAGTTCACAAAAAAGGACAATCTTTCTGTTGCTACATCAGATACTGCTGAAACTTTTTTGATAGGAAGCAAAACTGCTCATTCCATATTTAATAGGCCATTAAATATTGTGAGTGCAGCAACCTATGGGGCAGGCAAGTGGGACAGACCTCTGGACAAGAAAAGCGATGGGCATCTTTGGGTTCATCTCCCGCTCCTTCTCTCCCTTCTTTCCAGCTGTTGCGGAAAACGAGGGACCCTGGACTTCCCCTTCCTTCTCTTCTTGTGGAGGTGGGACATTAGCATCTAACTCTGAGCCTGGGGGCCCTGCGCATCAGAAAATCCAGAGACTGGGGCCAGGTGCACACAGGAGATGTTTTTCTACCAGCCCAGAGCCAGTCCCCCCACCCCCGATTTTGCAGGAAAATTCAAGAAAGAAAATTACCAATTTAATATTTTTAGGAAAAGATTGAGGTCTTGTGAACCTCTGTTGTGAAATCTTGACTTTCAGTTTGGAAAGAGAGGAGCAGCAGCCAGGAGGGCCTGGTGGGCAGGGAAAAAAAAACCTTCACCCACCCAGGCCGCCACCACGTGAGCCGGTTGGGTGGGTGGCCCAGGAGTTGGAGGAATGGGAGCTGCTGCCTCCTGCCATTGCCCAGTAAGCCAGACAGGTGGAGCCAGCAGCCCCAGAAGTGGGAGTGGGCAGGTAGGGGAGGGAGAGAAAGAGACCCACCTTTTGCCTCTCAGTGAGGCAGGAGACGGCCGCACATTAGGTTGACAGGGTGGCTATTCAGGGGCCAGCACTGCAAGCAGGGAGTAGGACGGGACTGCCCCCCCCCAAGTCTCAGGGTCCCCTGCATGTTATCACCACATTTTCCTGAAATGTAGATGACACATTTGTATGGCTGTCAATGCTGAGAGCCAGTGCATTGCACAGTGTGGTAGACTTGAAGTGAGGAGGCCTGGGATCAAGTTCCTGCTCAGCTATAAGATTGCCAGCCTCCAGGTGGGGCCTGGAGATCTCCCAGAATTACAACTGGCCTCCAGACAACATTAATCAGTCCCCCTGGATGGTCTTGATGACACTGTGCCCTCCTCTGGATCCCTCCCCTCCCCAGCTCTGCACCCAAACTCTCCCAAGTCTCTCCCCATCCAGGGCTGTCAACCCTAGCCACGAAGCTCAATAGCTCCTGTCCTGACTTCCCTAAGAGGGTCATCATGGTGAGGAGAAAATATGAGCACCCAGTTCCTTGGAAACACAAAGGAGAGTGAGACGGCTGTATGGATGTAAAGGGCCTATAATGATTTTAAGAGTCACAAAAACAAGAGGAAGAGAAACCCTTAATACAAGTATAACCTAGCAGAAGCCTGGCTATGCAAATTCCCCTCCCGATTTTTCTCTCCAACTGCTAAGTTCTGGATGGATCACATCAACAAAGGACAGCACCCTTTGTGGATCGTCTGGCAGTTATTAAATGACTCCCCCCCCAATAAACAATTCAATCAGTACAGTCTTCAAGAATCTGATCAAGGGCACTGTGGACTCAAGAAGACTCACACCAAGAAGTACATCTACACACAATTAAGAAATTAACTTCTGGAACTGATTCAGTTGGCTTGAAAAGGGGACTGGACAAATTCATGGGGAACAGGACTCTCAGTAGCTACAAAGGCATAGTGCATAAGTGGAGTCTTCATGTGTAGAGCCAATGAATCCCTGAATGCTTTTGCTGTGTGGAAAGAGTAGATCAATGTGGTCACCTTAAGTCCGGGCCAATGTTCCCTCTAAGCTATGGAGTCCTGTGAGCAAAAATTCTACTCTGTGAGCTACTGGCATTAAAGTTGTGAGCAAGTGATTTGGCTAGTGCATAAATTCGTTTGCTCTGGAGCCATCCTTCCTGAGCTAAGACAAAAATGTGTGAGCCGGAGGCTAAAAAACTGAGCTAGCTCACACTAACTCAGCTTAGAGGGAAGACTGGTCTGGGCTTACTGCTGGACTAGGGTTCAAGTCCAGTTTCTGCTGTTGTTATCATGGTGTAGCCACATTCTTTCACCTTAACCAGCCTCAGTGGGCTGTTGAAGAAACAAAATGAAGATAAAATAATTACACATCCCTCCCCCATGACAAGGAGCAGGGGGGGGGGATGGACTGGAGAGAACAACCTCCAGAGAGGTACTCCTAGCCCCTTCACTGTTGATCTTCAGGAGGCAGTTGAAGACAGTTTTACTTAAGACTGCATTTGGATTGATTTAGCTTTTATCCAGGGAAGTCCTAATTGCAGTTTTAAATCAGTGAATTCTATAGGTTTTATAATTGTTTTTAATGTGTTATTTATCTTGTAAGCCGCCTTGAGTTCCACAAGGTAGAAAGATGGCTAACAAATATTGTAAATAAACAAAAATACACACAGGGAATAGGTGAACCGAGAAAAACTGGGATATTGATTAGATCTTTTCGCTAGCATGAGAACCCAGACTAGAGTCAGCAGGGTTGTAGCACTGGATGTGGCTCTATTGCCCAGTTATATCACCTGTTCCATATTGATCTGGTAGCTGTAACATCACACAGTGATGGTGCTGAAGAGCTGACCACTGGCTCCCTTCCCTGGCAAGCTGCCTCCAACGTGCAGAGTTAGGGGCCCAAGTCCCTGCTGCTGGAATCCCAAGTTCAAGGGCCCTGGCACTTTAAACAGTGAAGTTACCCTGGCTTTCTTGGAAATGTAGGATGCCAGTCAGGGACAGAACAGGAACACCAACTTGGTTTCCCCCTACCTGTACAAAGCTGGCTGCATGTTAACAATCAGGAGGAGTTTCCTCAGAAACATCATTAGGAGTTTCAATGGTTTGGTAGCCTTGATTCCAATGTTCTTCAAACATCTACTCACAAAAAGTGGTCTCAAGCCACTCATTCAGGCACAAGGAGGACCAACTGTAACTGCTGCAGTGGGGGACAGTGAATTCCTTCCACAGTCTCCTGGTAATTTACTATATCTCCTCTCCATGTGGGGGAAATGGGGCAAGGAATTTCTATGCTTATTGTGGTAACTCCCGATAATTTACTATATTTCCCCTCCATGCGGGGGAAATGGGGCACGGAATTTCTATGCTTATTGTGGTAACTCCCATACCACAGCACGAAGGTGGGCTACATTCTACAAATGACATGTTTGGCCTGCTTTATACAATGATGACCCACTACCTCGTATCTTTACCAGGGTGACCCACTACCTCTGTCTTTACCAGGGAGGGGGGCTCTCACTTTGTGGTCACTGTTCCCACACATGAAAAAGTGTCCTCACTTTTGCATGCTAATTTAACAAACCACTCCTATGTATACAACTATATGTAATTCCATTTAACCGTCTGACAAAGTGTGCGTGCACATGAAAGCTCACACCTTGAATAAAACTTGGTTGGTCTTAAAGGTGCCACTGGACTCTAACTTTGATCTACTGCTTCAGACCAACACGACTACCCCACCTTGACCCACAAAATCAGGTTCACTTTATCTCCCACCCACCCCCGCAGTCTTGTCTGCCTGAATCACTAGCTTTGACATTCTTCAGAGTTCAGCTCCTGCCAAGGATTTTACATCCCTGATGTGCTGTTACAGGAGTTCCCCTTTCAACCCAATGGGAAAACCCCCTTCCTTTAACCAAGGTCTATGTGGGAGAGAGGAAAAAAATTCACTTCAAGGCTTTTCTGCTAGCAAAGCAGGGAGTTTTATTTAAGAATGAATTCATTCTGACACTAGCTCATTCACCAACAAACTGGCATCCTGAGTGCAAACAGAGTCCATCCTTTTACGCCAAAGAACAGACTTCAGTAATTCATAGGACAGCATAATTCACTCCACCCCATTTACAAAACATTTCAAATTCCTGGGAAGGGCATGAT